GTTTACGGAATGAAGACTGGAAAATTCAGGCAACACAATAAATTTTCAGGACCCACTGAACTGAGGAGTTCCAGGCTCTAGAAGGACACTGTCTTTACCATTTGTTTATTTTATTTATTTATTTTTTTAAGGTTTATTTATTATGTATACGGTGATCTGCCTGAATGTATCCCTGCAGGCCAGAAGAGGGCACCAAGTCTCATTACAGATGGTTATGAGCCACCATGTGATTGCTGGGAATTGAACTCAGGACTTCTGGAAGAGCAGTCGATGCTTTTAACCACTAAGCCATCTCTCCAGCCCATTTTTTTTTTAAAAATTATTTAATTTTATGTGCATTGGTGTGAGGATGTCCAATCCCTTGGAACTATAGTCACAGTGAGCTGCCATGTAGGTGCTAGCAATTGAACCCGGGTCCTCAGGAAGAGCAGCCAGCTCTTAACTTTTGAGCCATCTCTCCAGTCCTTGTTTCTTCTAAAAATGGAAAGAAACAATTTGAGACCAGCCCAAACCGTTATGGGTTTGGGACGTTCAGAGATCCACCTGACTGACCACGAATAAATTTTAACAAAAAGGAGGCTTTTATTCAGTATCAGATACTGGCACCAGGTATACATGGGGACTCGGGAGTCCCAAAGGCAGCGCCAAGGCAGCGCCAAGTCACCTCAGTCAGGGGTTTATAAAAGCAAACAACACAACCTTACATTCCGTCTATGTACAAGCAGAAGGTTATCTTGAGCAAAACAAGCTTCTGTTTAACAGAAGCAGGAATAGCAGATGACCTTATGACCTTGCATAAACAACAGTTGTGTTAAAATTGTATCAAGACCAGACTATTACAAAAATTAACCTTAAAAGCCTGAACATTGGGAAGTCTCTTAAGCACAGTAATTTTAAACTTTTAAACATGAGGTAAACCATCAACAGAACATCAGCCATCACAAGGTTACAAGAGAACCTGTTTCCAAAAGTGTGTGAAGGGAGTGTTGTGGGAGCTGGCAAGACGGCACAGCAGTTCAGAGCACTAACTGCTGTGTCGGAAGACCCAGAGTTCAGTGCCCAGCCCTTGGGCCAGCAGCCTCACAACTGTCTATAAATTTGGCTCAGGGAATCTGATGCCCTCTTCTGCCCTCCCAGAACAGAGTAAAAAATATTTTTTGAGAGCTGGGTGTAGTGGCACACAACTTTAATCCCAGCACCCAGGAGGTAGAGGCAGGAAGATCTCTGTGAGTTTAAGGCCAACTTGGTCTACAGAGCGAGTTCCAGTTTAAAAGGGGAAAATTACAAAGAGCTCCCAGGTCCCATCCAGTCCTAATATGGGGAGAAGTGACTGGGGGCTTTCCATGGTGACACACTTGCAGCCTATCAGGGAGTTCTGTGGCTCAGTGGTTCAGACAGGCTCTGGGCCAACCAATCAGAAAGGGGTGGATTGTGGGTTACACCAGTGTGAGGGGTTGGGGGGGGGGACACTGCCTTCTAGCCTCAGGAAATTGTGGGTAGCAGCTCAGGGCAGAATGGCAGGCTAGGACGAATGGAATCTCTGCTGCTAACTAGCATCTAATACACCCACTCCAAGTGGCTCTAGCACCCCTGCCTCTCTCCCGTTCCCTCTGCCTTGCTAAAAAACCAGTAGATCACAACCCTAAAGTTAGCCACCAAGGTCTATTCCCTTATTTGGCCACTTCCTCCTCCTGAGGCCGCCTACCAAGGCCCAGCTATCAAAGTACTGAAGTTCAGCAATCAAAAGCCCCCTTTGGCTCACCTAATTAACACACCCAGTGAAAACTGAATACCTCTTCCTAACACAGGGTTTTCCAGTTTCCTTTATAAGCCAATGTGCCCATGGGCACGTCTGTGTCCTCTCTATCCAGAGGTAGCCCTCCCTCCCCACCTCAGGGCGAATACTCCCCCTCTTCGCCCTCACCCTCTATTTCCTGAGGTTGCCTGATTCCCTGCCTTTTGTCCTGAGAACCTCCTCTTAGTGGTCCTGAGCTGACACCGATTCTTTCAGCAGAGCCCTGTTCTGACCCACTCCATCACCGGAACCACCTTTGGGAGTTTCGGGAGCTGTCGGTCAGCGTGGCACACTCTGGGGTGGAACAGCGAACTAATCCGATTCAGGACGCCTTACAGTTTCTATTTCTGTGAAGAGACACCATGACCACAGCATGGTGTCTTATAAAGAAAATATTTAATTGGGGTGGCTTGTTTACAGTTCAGAGGTCCAGTCCGTTATCATCATGACAGGGAGCATGGCAGCCTGCAGGCAGACGTGGTTCTGGAGCTGAGAATGACAGTCTTGACCAGAAGGCAGCAGGAAGTTGATTAGCACATTGAGTGACACTTGAGAAGACCTCAACCCCACCCCCACAGTAACACAGTCCATCCACAAGACCATGCCCACTCCGATAAGGCCACACCTCCAAACAGAGCTTCTCCTTGGGGGGGGCATTTTTTTTCAAACCAGCACACACGGTATTGCTCCCCAAAGAAACTGGTATCCTGGAATAAAAACAAACGGTTGTAAACTCCTGTTATGGCGCAGACATTGATGAGGGAGTAGTGGACCCAAGAGACAGGCAGCCTGTGTTATGCTGCGGCCCAGTTCCATTCTGCACAGGGACCTTTTCCCACCATTATGACAGGGCTCGAGCCTCCCCTAGACCTCTTCCAAGCCGCCGGGCAGGATTTGGGCCTCACTCTTGGGTGTTCGGGGATGTCAGCAGCTCACTGGTCAGACATGTAGAACTTCCCACGAAAGTCAGAGGGCAGGGCCTGTGACAGTCAGTAGAGCTGGTGCAGTTCTTAGAGATTCAGTTCATCTTCTTCCAAGCTAAAATCTGAGAGACATTCTTCCTCCCTTTGGCCAGGCTGAAGGCAGTTGACCTGCAGGATGAAGAAGGCCCACCAGGACGGTGGAGAGGACACACTGCGGTCACTCCGGGGTTGATATTCCCTAACCAGGGTTCCCAACTCACCGCTGCGTGGGCTGAGCCACGATAGAACCTGCGATCTCTCCTAAACTTCTGCAGAGGGATTTGGGGGTGGGTAATTCAGCCAGAAAGTTTGTATCAGAGTTGAGAGACTTCCCACTGGCCTGGGAAAACATCCGCTTACCATGCTGACTCAGGGGAATGGCTACCACGTCACAGAGATCCACCTCACGAAGCAACACAGAGAAGATGCCTAGCTGACTTCTGGAGCCGCTTTTCTAATCTGTACTATGGTTTGCAGGAGAGGTGGCTCAGCAGTTAAGATCACGAGCTGCTCTCCCAGAGGTCCTGAGAGTGGTTTCCAGGACCCACAAGGTGTGGCTCACAACCACTTGTTATTCTGGCTCCAAAGACCTGATGCCTCTGGCCTCCTGGGATATCTGCACTCATGTGCCCATAACCAACCATACCTGTGCCCTGACATAGCTGGGCACACAGTGGTGTGTTTTAAAGTGGAAGTTATTCTGATAGTCCCCTCTCTATTGGCGAATCTACTGCATAAACTGATTCCAGAGTCCGAGGCTGATTGCTACCTCATACAGCCAGAGA